CCCTCTTTGAGCCCAAAGAACAGCTATTCCCTTTCCCTGTAGGGAGCAATGGACAGAGAGAAGGCCTTGGAGTCAGAATGATCTAAATTTAAGGGCTGCCTCTGATGCATACCATGTTACCCTCAGAAAGTTAACTTAACATTAACTTAACCTTTTTGCACTCTAGACAGCTATCCATGACAAGAAGTCCCAGAGCAGTTAGGTGCCAATCTGCTTTGGTAGAGGGAGTGTTCTCAGCCAAGAGTTCCCTAAAAATCAATGAAATCACAAATCTAATCCCTGTTTCTATCATTATTATTCCCCAGTGTGGTTATTCCACCCTACTTTAAGTCCAACCTACTCAATCTCAGAGTAATTTTTTCTCTGTACAAAACCACTATCTAGGTAGATTGAAACTATGATTTTTAAGGTATTTTTTACTCATCTTTTCAGCTTTTTGGTAATTTGTGCTCAATTCTGCAAACAAGAAAGTGCTAGAAGTTTTAAATGATTTCATTTATTGTAGCAATTTCTCTCAGAAATATTTAAAGGGTCTTTTTTTATTCTAAACATAAAACTTTTTCCTAAATTTCCAATTATATCAGTGGGCATCTGTTCATCACGTCATTTCCTATAGGAGCAATAAGGTAAGCCTTATAAATGAAAAGCAAGACACATTCCACAAAACTGTCTCAATTTAGGCAGAGCTATTACAGACCATATTATACCCAGCAGAGAAAAATGAAGATCCCAGAATTCTCCTGGTTTTGCTTTTGCACTTTATGAAAAGGTCAAGAAAATAACAGCGTGAAAGAGCTCTCTCCTTCCACATTCGATTTGGCAATAAATGTCCATGAGAGAAAGTCACATCATGTTTAATTACATATCCTAACTCACCCTGATTTAATGCTGTTTCCTAATTGTCAATGGTAAGTTTAGATAATTTTGTTCCCATTAAAATGTTATAGCTCATTTTACTCCTCTGGTTCCGTTGCTATAATTGCACAGCAGCTTCTCAAAGCCAAACATCTTTCATTTTATCTGACTCTTGAAGGAATTAGTCATGATTTTAAATATTGGATAGACGAAGGCTATAAAGATATGACCCTGTGTATTGTAGGAGGAGTCATGGGATCCTAAGGATAATCATAGATTTAGAGATGGAAGGGATGTGCAAGGCCTAGATCTAGTCCAACCTCCTTATTTTAGTACTGAGGAAGCTGAAGGCCAGAGACATTGATCTTCTCGTCCAAGTTCACAAAGGTAGCAAATGGCAGAGCAGGGATTCTAATCCAGACCCTCCTATTCCAAATCCAGCACTCTCTCCATACTGTTCCCCTCTGCCTCCCATGCATCGTCATAGACCAGTAATGAGTACGCTAGTGAGAAGCAACTGGCCCACACAGCCTTCATCTGGAAAGAGTGGCTAGAACATGCTGATGGAATAGCAGTATCTCCCTCAAAAATTGAGTTGGAACCCATGTAGCATAAGGATCCCTCAGGGAAAGAGCAGAGCCCAGACTGAATCAGCTGATTCCCCACGCTTTGAGGGGTTGCCAGCAGGCATCATTAAAGTCATGGAGAAATAAAATAAATAGAAGATCCTGAAGCAGAATTTATAGAGTTAGCACTGTTTTTTGACTAAAGCTTATTTTTAAATTAACTAAAATCTGGAGATTACCCATGAAAAAGAAATACAAAGTCCCCAAGTATTGAATTATCTCTGAAAAAATTTTACCAAAAATTAGAAAATCTCTCTGAGAACCATTAAAGAGATACGTGGAATATGATGAAAATTTTTTATGACTAGAAATTACAGGTTATGCATAATAAACTCCCACTTTTCTCTCCCATCCCATTTCCTTTTGTTCTTTAGAATTCAGTCCAAACACACTCCTCTTGGCAGATAAATGGGAAGAAGAAAAAGAATCAGTATTTATTAAGCATCTACTATGTGCCAGGTACTGTGCTAAGCACGTTACAAATATTATCTCATTTGAGTAAGAGGTAACCATGGGTGTGGAACTTTGCAGATGATGGAAGGTTGAATTGCTTATTGGTTTGCTTTTGCTTAGCCATTAAAAAAAAAAACTTCTGTAGTGATACCATGGGAGGGCTCCTAGTGTTATTTTAACTGTTGTGGTCACCATCCCACCTGAGGCTTTTTGCGAGATGGGTGATCTACATTCTAAAAAGATTATAATTATTTTATTATTTATAATATTTCATGTATAAAATATTATTTTTATATTTTATGTATCATAGTAAATATATGCACCATTTCGTCATAACATATTTGTTTTATTAATAGTGTTATTTTACATTCCAATTATTAAAATAGTTTTGATTGGATTTGTATGACTCACGTGTACCTATTGCATTTTAAATAGCAACAAAAAAGTCTTGAATTTGAGGGACTTAGCCAAATTTAGACTTATTCTCCCAAGGTAGAGTTCAATGGGCAGGGTTTATCAAGAAATGATTGTGATATTAAAAATAAAAGGAATCAATAAAACCTTCTAGAAAAAAAATAAGTTCTTTTAACTCAGATCAGTTTTAAACTCAGTTTTAATACAATGGAGTGATATAAAAATCAAAGATATCTATAAAATGCATTTTCTCCAATCTATCCCTTATGAGAGAAGTGGGCAGAAAACTTTGACCTCCGGGCATATAGCTCATGGGCTTTAAATCTGGAAAGGACCTTAGACATCAAGTCCAAACTCCCATGTTATAAATGAAGAAACTGAGGCCCAGAGAGGTTATATAACTTTGAGATCACAAAGGCATTAAAATGTGGAGCTAGGATTCTTAACTCAGGTTCTCTGACTCTAAATGTCATGCTGTTTCCATTGCACAGTGTTGTAGGTAGGTAGATCTAGATAGGCTTATGAAATATGTATTAGGACTTCTTATCTACATAACATAATCCTCTTGAGAATAGGGATTGTACCCATTAGTTATTATTTCTGGAATTTCCATCATTATGACTTACTATGACCTAGGTCATTATGACTTATTTGATATTCAATAATTTAACAAAGATATATAGTCAGCATCTAGTTGGCTCAGCGGATAAAGCACTGGGCTTGGAATCAGGAAAACTCATTTTGAGTTCGTTTGACCTCAGATACTTGTTAGCCGAGTGACCCTGCAGGTCACTTAATCCTGTTTGCCTCAGTTTCTTCATCTGTAAAATGAGCCAAAGAAGGAAATGACAAACCACTCCAGTATCCTTGCCAAGAAAACCCCAAATGGAGCCACAAAGAGCCAAACATGCCTTCAATGACTGAAAGATAGCAGCATAATCAGCTGAATTTATGGTATCTTAGCTAGAGTTCTAGTGTTGACTAGAATTTCCCACAAGGAGGATTCTAGGATAATAACTATAGAACCAAAAGGGATTTAATCTCTTCATTTTACTGATGAGGAAATTGAGGGCCAGAGAAGGGAAGTAACCAGCCCAAGATCACCCTTCTAATAAGACTAGCTATTTAGTGTCTGTTTGACCTTAAAGAATTAATAATTTCATCTAAACACTAGCAAAAATTGCAGCGTGATATTCTTTGCAAATATTGATACTTCCCCAAGAGGGCACTGGAGGGTAGCTCAAGGAGATCTATCAGGGCTCAGAGGAACAGCAGTTTGACGGCTTTAAATTCCATGGCTTCACCGTCAGGAGGTCTAGGGTGAGGATGAAACTTCTCTTGGAGAAGAGTAAATACCAACCAGTCACCAGGCATATCAGTCCTTTGTCCTCATATTCATAACTTGCCATTTTACAAGACAGACCTCTAAAGAGGATTCCTCAGAGCTGATCTGGTTCATTAATATGCAACTTAGAACATTTATTTATTTTTTTATTTTCACGCATTGCTGATTTGGGATCTTGCTAATAAAATTCACTCTCACACAAACCAGAAAGCTGTGTGATGTAACTGGACTGTCTCTGTAAACAGAGGCTTGGAATGCATGCCTATCTTCCCCTTCTACTTGTATAAGCTAAGGAATAATCATAGTAGCTCTGCAATGTATGTGCTCTGAACCCATTCTCTCAGATCCAAGCCTGTTACATCTGCTCCTTCATGGTTCTCTGGTAACCTGGGGGGTTGTGGTGTTGCTTTTCTACTATTATCCACTCCAGCACCTGCCAGCTGTGTTCCCATTTTAAGAGGCCACTGATCAGTCTGTCAGTTTCATTTAACCAATAACTACTAGGCCTGTATTCCTAGATGGACAATAATAAAAATAAAGTCCTCATGTACACAAAAAATTTAATTGCCATCATCTAAATGAAGCCTTTATGATCTCCCAGCTGTTAGTATACTTTCTTCAATAATCACTCTTTTTTCATTCTGTAGGAATCATTCACTAAAGGAGTATGCAGTGGAGTTGCAGGCCCTAAGGAACTTTGAGGAAGTTTGGATATTAACACTTCAGCTTTGCTTTGCTTTTGCTTGCCTGTAGAGTTTAAAGAAATAGACAGTGGAATTACAGACTATGTTTGAGAGAGGCCAGTAAGGTAAGATATTAGTGGTGTTTGCTTAATGTATTTGGTTTCATCCTTTTTCTTATTATGGTGAAGGAACTGTATACAGTTATGCTATGCTTGTATGACTGGACTCCCATGGAACTCAGAAGGGATCTAGAGAGGGTAAGGTGTACTTATGGGTGGGGTGACCCCAGTCTTATTGGAAACATCTACACTAAGGCTTTAGAGTAAGGAGCTCCCCCTTGCTACCTCCAAAAGCACATAGAGCAAGAAAAGGAGGATAGCCAGCTCCATGAGAGCCATAAAGAACTTGGCAGCAACCCAGAGCATCCCCTGGTATTGAGTGTAATACACCAGTTCTGGGAGTGTGATCAGACATGCTTGGAACATAACACATAGCATCAGGCGTTGAGCAGCAGTGCCCCCTGGTGGTTAGATATGTATTTAGCCTTAGCCACAACATTAAGATTCTTGCATGCACTGACTGCTTAACTTTTTGTCAGTATATTGCCAATACTTAGCAGCGTACCTGACAAGTAGTAAATTCTTCATCAATGTTTATTGACTGACTGATTGATAGCCCACTTTTTTGCAGTAGAAGAGCACTGAAAAGAAAGTAAAAGCACTTTGATTAAAGGATGGTGAAACAAGTTATGGTACATGAATGTAATGAAATACCGTATTGCTTAATAAGAATTTATGGATATGATAAATACAAAGAAGCATAGAGAAATCTAGGGAACTCTCTGGTGAGAAAATCCCCCCTACTAATTCAGGTAAGCACCTTCTCTGAAATTTAGATCTTAGACAGTTGTCCAAAGCAGCAGGATGTTATGTCAGAGACAGGACCCAAACGCAGCATCTTCCTGTCTCCAAGACAGCATCTCTATCCATTATGCTATGCTGCTAATGCAAAGTGAAGTAAGTACAACCATGAAAACAACATACATGGACAAATACAATATAATAATGGAAAGAACAATATGGCAATAAAAAACTGAATACTGTGAAATTAAAATGGCCAAGGTTTTCCCAGGAAGCGATATGAAAATGTACCTCTTTCTTTCTATGCAAAGTTGGGGATTACACATGTGGCATAGTGCATACAAAGTCAGATTTTGGGGATATGTTGGTTAGTTTTCCTGAACTCTTTCCTCACCTCTTTTTTTTTTAATCCTTTGTTTAAAAGGGATAGCTTTGTTTAAAAGGAAAGGAAGGATTTGTGTGTGGGGGGTAAATATAGGTTATGTCAAGTCAAGTCAAATGCGGTCAACAAATATTTATTAAGGTTTATTATGTGTAAGCCACTGTTGAGGCTAGAAATACAAATATAAGCAAAAAGAAAGTCCTTGCTCACGAAGAGCTTACATTCCAATTGGAGAAAATAATAAATAAAAAGAAGCTGTGATTATTTCCAATTTATTCTGTCTATATCTTGTTTGTACATAGCTCCCTCATTAGATCACAAGATCCCTGAGGGTACATAAACTTTTCCAAAACACAGTGTTGAATAAAACATGGACCAATATCTTAGTGGTTGCTATTGTTGTGTTTGGGGAAATCACAGCAAGAATGGTACATTACTCCCTGTTTGTCACTGACCCTACCTAACCTATTACTCTTTAGAGGATTATTAGAGCAAAGCTGATGTGTTTGGATTTACCAGAACAATTAGTTTCCATGTACAGTGCCCCTAACTTTAGATCAATAATGAGACCATAGCTTTTGCTTGAGTTAATATACAATAAATAATGTGTCAGAATTGCCTGGAAGAAGTGATCATAAGCCATGCTTCAACAGGTTATTTTAACAGGATGATGGGAAAGTGCTTTGAAATAAACACTACCTTTGCGGGGGGAAAGCTGCTTGAAGAAGAGAGTTGTTGTTTTTTTTCCCCAATCGCTTGATTTGGCATCAAAAAATCACTATAATTACACAATGAAAATCTAAATGCTCAACCTATTTTGTGATATAAGACATTTTCTGAGTTGTATATGGATTCAATGGGGTTGAAGATGGTGAAAACATTTCCACAAGGGACCTAACAATAACAGATCTCCAACTATATTACAAAGTGACAACCATCAGAGCTATCTGGTACTGGCTAAAAAATAATGGTGGATCAGTAGAATAGACTAGGTACACAAGACACAGTAGTAAATGACCATAGTAACCTAGTGTTTGATAAGACCCAGCTTCTGGGATAAGAACTCACTATTTTGCAAAAAGTCCTGAGAAAACTGGAAAACAGTTCCTGCCACATTGGATATAGACCATCATCTTACATCATATAATAAGATAAGTCAAAATGGGTACATGATTTAGACATAAAGGGTGATACTACAAGCAGATTAGAAGAGCAAGGATAGTTTACCTGTCAGATCTATGGAGAAGGGAAGAATTCATGACTGAACAAGAGATTTACTAAGTGTAAAATAGATAATTCTGATTATATTAAATTTTAAAAATTTTGCACTAACAAAACCAATGTAACTGAGATTAGAAGGAAAGCCCAAAACTGGGAAACAATCTTTACAGCAAGTGTCTCTGATAAGGGTCTCATTTCTCAAATATATAAAGAACTGAGTCAAAATTATAAAAAAACAAGCCATTGCCCAATTGATAAATGGTCAAAGGATATGAACAGGCAGTTTTCAGATGAAGACATTATCTAAATATTTACTGAGATTAGAGAAGTGTAAATTAAAACAACTCTGAGGTACCACCTCACACCTATCAAATTGGCTAATAGGAAAGAAGAAGAAAAATGATAAATATTGGAGAGAATGTGGGGAAAATTGGGACACTAATGCATTGTTGATCAAGTTGTAAACTGATTCAGCCATTCTGGAGAGCAATTTTGAACTATGTCCAAAGGGCAATCAAACTGTGCATGCCCTTTGATCTAGCAATACCACTACTAGGTCTTTATCTTAAAGGGATCATAAAAAAAGAGTAAAGGACCTATATGCATAAAAATATTTATAGGAGCTCTTTTTGTGGTGGCAAAGAATTGGAAACTGAGGGGATACCCATCAATTGGGGAATGGCTGAGCAAGCTGTGGCATATGAATGTAACAGAATACTATTGTGCTATAAGAAGTGATGAGCAGGCAGACTTCAGAAAAACCTGGAAAGACTTACGTGAACTGATGCAAAGTGAAATGAGGAGAACATTGTAAACAGTAATAGCAATATTGTGTGATGATCAACTATGAATAACTTCATTCATCTCAGCAATACAATGATCCAAGATAATTCCAAAGGACTCATGATGGAAATGCTATCTACATCCAGGAAAAACAAACAAACTCATAGACTCTGAATGCAGATCAGTGCATGCTATTTTCACTTTCTTTTTTCATGTGTGTGATTTTTTCCCCCTTTTGGTCCATTTCTTTTTTCACAATGACTAATATGGAAATGTTTTATATAATTGAATATACATAACCTATATCAAATTGTTTAACATTTTAGGAAGGGGGGAGGGAAGGAGGAAAAAAATTGGAAGTCAAAATTTTATTAAAATGAATGTTAAAAAGTGTCTTTCCATGTAACTGGAAAAAATAAAATACTACCTAAAAGCCCCTCAAAACAGAAAATAGTCCCTCAAGGAAATAACTGCATGATTGCATGATTCCTAATTTTTGGTTTTTGTTATCTAGAAGGAGGCTTGGGCCTCTTGAATTATACTGTAGAGAATCAGCATTTTGTTTTGCATGGCAAGTTGAAAGTTAGAATTAAACACAGTGTAGCACAGACTCTGGGCTCACTCTTCCAACCCAGACTTGGACTATCAGATCAGGTCCCCTGAGTTCAGTTCCTATATCTCCCTTTTCGGTTCTAGCTTTTACAAATGGACTTCAACTGAGAAGGTATAGCTAAGGACCAACTTACAATAACACTGAAGAAACACACTTTCCCCTCTGCATACCTCAGACCTTGGGGAGAGTGGATTCACACTTTAAAAGATTTCTGAGAACCATTTCCCTTATTAGGGTCACTCCTGGATATAGTTAGTCACCCCTTTCACATTGCAACTTCCCCCATTGTGGTTTTGATATATCATGGATTGGCATAAGAAACTAAATGGGAATTTTTTGGGAGCTTCATGGAAGCCACAAATAACACATGAAGGTCAGCAGATAGCACAGAAAAAGTTTAGAAACTCAGAAATGCATAAAATACATGCATAGTATTATATAATAATAACATTTTATCTCAATACCATAATAATTCAGACTTCTTCTCTGGCACAAAGGGAGGGCCAAAAAATTTCACATGGATTTTGCAGATCATGGGGCCACCACATCCCTAACTCCCACTGTGTAGAAGGGATGACTGACTGTATGACCAATGAATGAGTCATTGTTTTTAATTAAAAATTTAATTAAACAGTGTCTTGTTGTCTGGGCAGTTCACTGCTGTCTTGGGTCAAACAGGTGGCACCTCAGGGCTGATTCCTAACTGGACTTGGCTGATGCTGGTACTGGCAGAGAATGGACTCTATTTGCTAAACCTCTGGTGGCTTACCATTTTAGGAAGGGGAGAATTTAGAAGTCCACAAGGGAGTAATTTGGTATTTATTGTCCATACTCACCAATAATCAAGAAAGAAATGCAGACAAAAGAAATAAAGACATTATGCATTCATGGCCATATGATGGCCGGGTAGAAGGATATAGGACAATAATGGGCCTTCATTGGCCAATCCTTCCATTATAATCACTTTCAAGGGCTGATTCTGTTTTGCAGTTTCCAGCCTTTTTCAACCCCTGGTCCTTGACTTTAATTTCTGAGCCAAGTTACCGTAAGACCTCAGGGAATTTCCCAGTTCTTTCCTCACCATGGAGAAAGTCACAGGCAAATAATCTGTAGAATCGAGTTTTAAAGTAACAAGTGTACTTAGAGGTCACTTTAACGAAAGCTTTCATTTTCTAGGAACCCTTGTTTTTTACAGATGAAGTTCTGACTAATTTGTTTAAGGTCACATTTCACATACATGATGAGGCTGGGGCTCAGACTTGAGTTTTCTAGTTCCACTTCAGGTGTTCCTTCTGCTATATCCAGTTCTTAGTTTTTTGCTCCTTACTTGAATACCAACAATAAAGTAATCAAGAATAGCAAGCACTCAAATTTATACAAAGCTTTATGGGTTTTTACATTTTATAAATATCCTCTGATCTTCATCCTAACCATAGGAGGTTCAAATAAGTTGAGAAATTTGCCCAAGGCCTTCTGATAAGTAGCTGAGTCTGACTCAGTACTCACTCAAGAGTGATAGGTATTTGAGTTACTTGAGAAGACTTGAATAAAGTTATGTGGAACCAAGAAAACAGAAACAAAAGAAAGAATATGCATGGTTACTATAATGTAAATAGAAGTATCTCTAAAAGGCAGAGAACTCAGGTGAATTTCAATGAACAATCTTGGCTCTAGAAAAGAGAGAAAGTAAAGAAATGGGGAACTATAAGTGAAGAATGTATTATATGTGGTTAGACTTAATTTGTTTTAATCACTGCTTAAGCTGAACTATTTTTTGCTCTTTTTTAATAGGAGGCCAAACTGGCCTTTAACCTGTGGATGGCTGGAGCCAAACAGAGCAG